ATGTCAAAGCATACTGAGCATCTTTCTCTTTGACACCATGTCTGAAATCCCACGTGATCTGTCAAATACTAATGCATGAAAATCCTAACCTCAAAAAAATCACCCGTTATATGCATTTTTCTGCTACGCTTCTTTGGNCGTACATACATACATAAGTACACATAGGTACGGGTATAAGTATCTATGTATATGCATTTTTCTGCTACGCTTCTTTGGAAAAAATATACACACACACATACCGTATTTACATTTGAACATTTTTTCCGTAAACATGCTACATCTACCCGTAAAGTCTAGTCTTGTCTGGCGTATCGGCAAATGTGCTGACTTATTTATTTCCTGATACTAATGTGGCAGGCGATACCTACTTTGAATAATCAACAATACCTACTTATTTAGAAGCATCAATATTTTCCAGCAACAATTCCCACTTTACGCCCATTTTTGGTATCGCTGAATGTAAGTAGGTAAACATTGTAAATAAAAAACGTTTTAATAATTTTTCAACATTTTAAAAAAGGAAATTATGAATGAAGTTAATGAATTAAAAATTAATTCATTTTGTTGGCACTACTCAAAAACAGATGTTCTCTCATTTCTTATATTTGGACTCTGCCGTAAGCAAAAGCCATGTAATTTTCTGTTGAATGAATGCTTCAAGAAAAACAACCTTAACATTTTATGCAATACATGTATATGTGTGCAATTACAAATGTATGTATGAATGCTTAACCTACGTATTTAATTGCACTTAGGGCCAGTTTATCAGTGCCAGTCTAAACTTGCGTAAACTGCGTTCATATTTACCAGCAAGCTGGCATTTGATTGGCTGAATCAGCTAGATCGAGCGTTAAAACTAAGTTTAAAAAGAGTCGTGCGCTGAAAAACTGGTAATTTTTCAGATCTTTAGATTGGATAAAGCTTTTTATATAAATTACCTTCTACCGACAGTATTTCAGAAAAACACAAATGTATTTCAGAAAAGGCCAAATGAAATTCAGAAAAGCTGAAATGTATTTCAGAAAAACTCAAATGTATTTCAGAAAAACTCAAATGTGTTTCAAAATAGGGCAAAGCTTCAGCTTTTTTCAAAATTTCAGTTTCGAAATTCGGTTTTATTTGAATATCTCGATATCTTGTTTGCACAGCGTCATGAAGCTGAAAAACTAAATAGAAAATTCAAAATCAAAAGCTACACTCTAAAAAGTGCATATAAAACTGCTACTGAAAAGTGTTTATTTTTCAACCAGAATCTGCACAAGATGTTCAAGGTTTGATTTTGAACATGATGACATAAATATACACATGCAATTTTTAAAATTACAAACATTTTGAAAGTAAAAAAATATTTTTTACAAATAACACAGGGCAACACTGATTTTGGTGCGGCAAATGTTAAATCTGTTTTTGATAGACTTTTTTGAGCTGATTACGAATCCGTAATTATAAAGATTCCATCACGTACAGATTTTGAGAAAATCGTGGTCAAAGTGTCAAAAAATCGTGTTTTTTCAATATTTGAGAAGCTCGAGCAAAGAGTAAAAATGTGGTAGAACCTTCCACTTAGGCTTAACTTAAAGCTAGAACCCTAGGCTACTGCCACTGAAAATACCATCCCTGCACCTTTACTTGATGGCCATTTATAGTCATTTGTTGAACAATAAAAAAAATGCTGGCAAATTGTGCTATTGAAAAAAAAATGCTGCCAAAATCAGTTTTTGCTGTTCAATAAACGACTATAAGTGATCTTAGGGTAAAGACGAAGAGATGGTATTTTTAGAGATTGTAGTCGAAAGTTCAAGCCTTAATTTAAGCTTAAGCGGAAGGTTCAAATTTTACTGCTCAATAAACGACTATAAGTGACCATAAATTCACTGTGCAGGAATGGTATTTTCAAGGATAGTAGTCGAGGGTTCTTGCTTTAATCTAAGCCTCTTTACTCTTTGCTAGAGCTTCTCAAATATTGCAAAAGCCCGATTTTTTGACACTTTGACCTCGATTTTCTCAAAACCTGTACGTGTTGGATCCTTTGTACTTACGGATTCGTAATCAGCACAAAAAGTCTATCAACAAGTAATTTTTAGCAAAAAAAAAACCGACTTCAACTCTCATATAAAAAAAAAATATATATATATATATCTCATGATCCGCTGATCGGATCTTAACCAGATTAGTATGGGACCACCTCTGAGACACTACCTTTCCGATGCAAAATTTATTTTATTATTAATTATCGAAATCGGTTGCCGTGGTCCAAAGTTATGCGGTAACATACATAAAAAAAAAAAAAAAAAAAATATTCCGACGAACTGATAACCTCCTCCTTTTTTGGAAGTCGGTTAAAAATAGCTTTAACATTTTTCGCACCAACATTTTTTTCATTTTTGTTGGCCTGTGTAATAAATACTAAGTGCCAGGGGCGCACCCGGGAATATATTTTGGGAGGGAAGGGGTTTATACTTCTAAATATGTATCATCAGAAAATATTGAAAATTCGCTTCAGACAATACGCTCTTTAAAATACATTTATGCAAGTTTTATGTACAGTATGTAAAAAATAAATAAACTTTTTAAAGTTTCATAAATTGCATTTTAATTACATAAAATTTACAAAGAACTCAGACTTTTTTCAACCGGCTTCAAAACAGGGGAGGTTATCAATTCTTCGGAGTATTTTTTCTTCTTTTATATATGCCACCGCATAACTTTGGACCGCGTGAGCCAATTCCAATAATTATTTTTTTTTAATTTGTATATGAGAATTGAAGTCGGTTTTGCTTTTTGCTTAAAAATTACCTGTTTAATAAAAAGTTCTATAAACACAAGATGCACTCAACTTTCAAAAGTAATGCAAAATTTTAGAAAAGAATTTTATTATAAATAAATTAAATAATTCCATGAAATTTTTACACTTTTATGTTCATTTTCGTCGAGTTCTGGTTTCTCATACTTCGAATACCGCAAATTTAACTGAACTTGTATTTTTATCATGTAGCTCATTTTGGTGGAACGAATTCGAAGTTAGCAAATTAAATCTTCGAATGATTGTTAAGTACATATCAGTGATAAACTTTTTTAGGCTGTAAAGTGTAAAAAGCAACAGTAAGTGAGTATGCGTTGCATATTTTTAGGACAATGTTCTCATTCGCAGTTAAACTTTAAAGAGCTCTCGAGAAAAACGAAAAATTCTTACAAAATAACACACAAGAAATGGAAAAGAAATTTAATTTTATCAAAATTTCTTAAATCAGTTTGCAGCTCTCAACAAACAAAAATTTGAACCCCAAAGCCCACCCCTTGTGTTCGCTAATGCTAAGTGCTCATATTTACTCAACTTTAAACACTTTGTGTGTAGTTTTTTTCTACGTGACAAATTTGGTATGTAAAAGTAAACAGACAGCGTTTAATTTTGCACACACTAGGAGAGGAAACTGGTTATTTCTCTTTATATGCGTAAATTTTAACTAAAATTTTTTAGAGGAAATTTTAGACAGTTTAGGTGTAAACTGTTAAATTGTAAACAATAAATGTTTAGAACGCAAAAAAACAAATTTTAAATTTGGTCTACGCCACACATATGATAAGTAAAAGTAAGCAAGCAGTGTTTAATTAAATAACACGGTGTGTAAGTTTCCATTCATTAAGAGAGGAAGAGAGATTACCTATATTAATATGCGCAAATTTAAACAAAAATTTTTTAGAGTAAACTCTGGAAAACCGTGCTGTATGAACACTTTCATATAGGGTTTGGATCAAACTTTGTACAAAAATTAAAAAAAATCTGCAAGGTTTCACCTAAATGGCAAACTCTTTAATTATACTTAAAACAAAAAAAATTTTAGTTTAATAAAGTTCAAGATTGAGGTTGCTAAAAATTGCGTCGAGTTTTGGCAATTTTTGTCCTTGATAGTGTAAAGCAGCTCCTTCCATATTAGGATATTTGCAATTTTTAAAATTTCAGCTCATTACTTTGATTGTTTATCTCTATGAACTTATTACTATTTTCCATTTTCTTATATTTTTAGTTTACTTGTACAACATTGGCCGTCGGTTTATATCAATTGCAGCGCCTTTTGATGCGGCCCGTAATCCCGATGCGTCTCCAAAGTGTCGCACACAAATGCGACAGTTTTTAATGGGATTGAAAAACTTTGACCTTTGGGCTTTGAAAAGTAAGAAAAATACTGATTTCAAATTAATAGTTATATATGTATATAATTTCACTAATAACTACAAATGGAAATGCTTAAGTATTCCAGAATGCATAATATATATTTTAATCTAAATATGGATGTTGAATTTATTCCTAAAGGCAATCATCAACTTGTGTATGGGAAATCATACCATAAATGCATAGAACTAAATACATGTATACATATTATTAGTAATATTTATTTATTTATTACAATTAATGGCCCAGTCTGACGCGTATACTTAAAACATTTGTTCATCCATGTTGTTCTATTTGTTGGCTTTAGGGTTTATTTCCTTATACTGGTGTTGATATATGCATAGACCATTTGTTCTCGAAATGTAATTTTAACGCATTTGAGAAAAAAAAATTTTATATACATTTTCCCAAAAGGCATGTGCAGATAGAGACATGAATTAAAGGCCAATTTAGCAGCTCGGTCGGCGTGCTCAATGCCTGAGATATGTACCTGCGCGGGAATCCACATAAGTTAAACCTTAGGCGATAAACATATTAGTAGCTATTAAATGCGATATATTGGATCTTCTTGCATGTGTATTCGTTTGGTTGCATTGAAAAACGATAAGCTATCAGTGCATATAACAGTTTTGTTGCCCAGGGATTTAGCTAGGGTTAACGCTGAAAGACTGCCTTGCAGTTCTGCGTCGAATACATTCGCTTAGTTGGGGAGGAGGCCGCAGGAAATGGTGTCGCCATCGTTATTTTCTACTGCAAACGAAACTCCGTCATCTTGGTTTGAGCCATCTGTATACAGCAACATCCATCCTCTATTCTTCAGTGGGTTGGCGATACTCTGAAATGAATTCTGGTAAACAGAGTTATTGGTTGTATATTTTCATAGATAGGATCGCTAATAAAAGTATTCGTTTTAAGACACCAGGGTGGGTATTTTGTGCGTGGAATTTTCTACATGATAATATGCATAAAGTCTGCGACTTCTTTGACCTCGGATTTACGTGGAAAATTGTTTTTGAAGTGAAACTTCTTTAGCGGCGGTTGGTTTGTTGGGAGTAAATTGGCAAATTCAACGGAAATTTGCATACGGAAATAGTGCAACGGAAGTTGCACACGGAAATGGTTAGGACGGAATCAAGTCCTTCTTAAATGTATGCAAATGGTATTAATTTAACAAAAACTTGCTAATAAAAGCTTAAAGAATAAGACTTAGATAAAGACCAATTCAAGAATGAAATTAAAGGTGAGTACGTAAATAAAAAAAAAGCATAAAGACAGAGGTAAAAATAAAAACAAAAACAAAGACTCGTAAAGATAAAGGCAAAAATAAAGATCAAGGTAAATTTAAACACTTATATAAGGGCAAAGGTGAAGGAGAATACGTAGATAAAGAAAATGATAAACACAAAAGCAAAAACAAAGATAAATATAAAGAAAACGATGATGATAAAAGTAAAGATGAAAATAGAGGAAGAAATATTAAAATAAATGTAATTATAGAGAAAAGGATATAGATAGAGACACAGAAACTCAATCTGGGAACTATGCATTTCAAGATTTTAGACATTTTCAAAAATTATCGATATGATAACCGATATTGTTATCGATTTTGTTATCGATATTTTTATCGCTTATTTATTGATTTTGTTATCGACATTTTTATCGGTTTCGTTATCGATATTCTTATCGACATTTTTATCGATTTTTTGGATATTTTATATCGATATTTTTATCGACTTTATTATCGATTTTACTATCGATTTTGTTATCGATATTTTTTTTTATTTTTATATGTCTTGTCATCGATATTTTTATCGATGTTACTATCGATTTTGTTAGCGTTACACATGATGTGACATCATATGACAGAACATCACATAATATTACATCACTTGGCATGACATGATATCCTATCACGTCACTTCACATTATATTACATGGCATCTTATCACGTCATCGCACCTCACATCATCTAGGAGAATATGTAGATGAAGAAAAGGATAAAATCAAAGATATAAAAGATAAAAACAAAGATGTAAGCTAGATATGTGACGTAAGTTTCACTTATCCAGTGTGGTCCGGGCGCACTTACTTTTTTTCTCTGTTTCAGGAGCTGTATGTCTTGGTGAAGAATATGACATGCGTTGCAGTGAAGCCTATAGGATATTCAAACGTATAAGACTTTGAATCGCTCCTCGATTGTTAAAAAGCCGCCTCTGTCCAGTAGATTTTTTGTTGGAGTTGATCTGGACTAGGAATGTTAATCCCGGGATCCCGGGATCCCGGATTTTTTAAGGTCTCGAAAATCCCGGGATTCTTGACAAGTAATCCCGGGATTATCGGAATTTGTAATTTGCACTGATGGCAATAATAGAAACTCCTTTTCTTGGCCAGTATTGGCTATATTTCTTTGTTTATTTAATAATTAACATTTTTTTATAAATGTCTAGCTCATTGTACATATAACACCGAGCGATAGTAAATTTTAAACACAAATATCAATACATTCACGAAACCATGGACCAAAAAATATAGTAAAATTGCGTTTTTAGTTTTTCACTCTGACGTCAGTAATTCAAAAATGATTTAAACATTTCAGAAAAATGTGCTTAGAAAAGAAGTATGGGTATAAAATTAATGAGCAAATCCTGTAAAATTTAAACATGTTCAAGTTTCTAGTGCAAAAGGGCTGGTAAATAATGAAAATGTCATTTTAAAATTGTATCCTTGAAATTTCGCAATATTTGTTCGAATTTCGTTCTTCTAACTTTGTCAGCTTAAAAATTACCTATTCGTCCTGGTGAATCCAAAAAATTTAAATTTTTTAAATTCTAAAGAAATTTCCTATTGCATTTGTTACCCATATTTTTATTCTACATTGCATTGAATTTTTTAATAATTTTTGGATTTATACATATCTTTGAAATTACAAAGTCCTTCAAAATAAATCATACGGTCAGAGAGAAAAAATAAAAACGCCACTTTAAATAAAAATGTAGGTTTCAAACCATGGTACAATAATTACAGCTATTGTCTTCCTAGAGAGTTTTGCTTCACATCGAAATTCGTGCTCCCTTATTTTCATTTGGACGCAGTTGAATGTTAATTCTTTTACTTTTATTTGGCTTTGCTTTTTGTTTTCGCTCAATTTAATTTTTATAATTTTTCAAAATAAAAGAAAAATGTTTGAAATTAAGTGAGCTATACAAATTTTTAATTTATTTACCAGCAAATGTTTTTTTTCCGGCTTTTGCAAATTGAATAAGTTCTCTGTAAGATGGTTTGTTAAAAAAAATATGTGAATATATATGGTATATGGGGTATGGAAAAGGGATATTTCCAGCAGTAAACGTTTAAGTGAGGGCAACAATGATATTTTTTAAATAAGGCATACATATCGGAATATGCGCTCTCTGAGAAGACAATACCTGTAATTATTGTACCATGGTTTCAAACCCATTTTTTGGTATATCGTACTGAAACTTCAGCGACACGACACTTCACCGCATAATTTTTAATGTATTTGTGTCAAAACCTTCAAAAAATATGGATGCCAGTGACGCTGATGTAATGTTGATGCCCTGTATTTTTATTTTCCTTGGAAAACTCTTCTCTATTTTTATGATTCTTTACATAAAATTTACTTCGAGTTAAAAATGTAGTACGAAATGTTATGTCCTTCCGCTGGGTATACCGCACCATGAGGCACCAGAACTGCGCGACATTCTTGCCTAGTTGCTCAACTTTGCCTCGCAGCGTCGCGTCGCACAGAGGAGTATTTGCCTAGTAAAACCGGTCAAAATTATTTTATGAGTTTTTCCACTCAGTACCAATTACATAAAACATGAAACTTAATCATAATTAGGGATTTATAGGATAAAAATTACTAATTACACTTATCCTAGGATAATTTTCGGGAAATATTTAGTTATATTCAGCCACCATAAGTCCACAAAAACCTTTTTCAGAAAAAGACACGAACGAAATTCGTTTTTCTAGAACATATTTAGGTCTACGAGTTCGTCCTTTTAGACCGGCTCTTGATTGCAATAACTTCGAAGGAGAAGAAGAACCCGATCCCCCAGTCGATGATGACGGAGGCGATGTTCCCCCGCCTGACTATGACGAGGTACGAATAGCAATAACGCGGCTGAAAAACAACAAAGCTGCTGGAGTTGGCAGCCTGCCAGCTGAGCTATTCAAGTACGGGGTCGAGGAGTTGATAAGGTGTATGCATCAACTCTTTCAGAATATGGTCAGATGAACGCATGCCCGACGACTGGATTTAAGTGTGCTCTGCCCAATCCACAAGAAAGGCGACCCGCAAAGGCGAACGGCAATAACGCAAATTTGTGTTATTTCCCAATTGAATGTGAAATAACACAAATTTGCTTTATTTCATTTCTCGTTGAGCAATAAGACCAACTTTTATACTTGACAATTTGAGTAATAAAGCAAACTAGTGCACATATGTACGTAGTCACCCAGTTACATTTGACAAAAAGTAGTACATGAACAAGTTAAATAGACGGATTTGTAAGTATACAATTTTGAAAGTGCCGGCGTCGCGGCGGTCCGCGTTCGACGTCGCGCTCGCGTCCCCCGCCCCTCCCCTTCTTTCGCAATTATGTACTGGTGGCATTATAACCGTTTAGAAAAAGGAAAAATGATAAAATATCACTAGTTCACTTCTGAAACTGCTTTTTAATGTCCAAGTAATGGGAATTATTGTGTATGGTGTTATTGCATGCTGCATCCCACCCATAGTGGAATTTACCAGGTGCCACTGCTTTATTTGAAAATTTGCCTATAAAATGTGACTATAAGGCAGCCGAATGTCAGAAAATAAAGCGAGAAATCCGTTTTATTACTTCATCTGTTTATTGCGACATGGTTCCATGCAAACATTTTAAGGTTTTCCAGCAATGATTTTAACAACATATTAAAAAGCATGCAGAAAAAATTCATACAAAAGCGCTATGTCCAATATGCGGAGCAGTTTTT